CACCCAGACCAAGTGGGATTTATCCCTGGTATGCAGGGATGGTTTAATGTGCGCAAGACAATCAATGTGATACACCACATTAACAGACTGCAGAAGAAAAACCATATGATTATCTCAATAGACGCCGAGAAAGCATTTGATAAAATACAACACCCTTTCATGATGAAAACTGTAAGAAAACTGGGTATAGAAGGAACATTCCTCAATACAATCAAAGCAATCTATGAAAAACCCACAGCCAACATCCTATTGAATGGGGAAAAGTTGGAAGCATTCCCACTGAGATCTGGTACCAGACAGGGATGCCCACTCTCACCACTGCTATTTAACATAGTTCTGGAAGTTCTAGCCAGAGCTATTAGGCAAGAAAAAGAAATTAAAGGGATACAAATTGGGAAGGAAGAACTCAAACTATCCCTCTTTGCAGATGATATGATTCTTTGTTTAGGGGACCCAAAGAACTCTACTAAGAGGTTATTGGAACTCATAGAAGATTTTGGCAAAGTAGCAGGGTATAAAATCAATGCACAAAAATCAACAGCCTTTGTATACACAGACAATGCCATGGCTGAGGAAGAACTTCTAAGACCAATCCCATTCACAATAGCTACAAAAACAATCAAATACCTTGGAATAAACTTAACCAAGGACGTTAAAGATCTCTACGATGAAAATTACAAAACCTTAAAGAAAGAAATAGAAGAGGATACCAAGAAATGGAAAAATCTTCCATGCTCATGGATTGGAAAAATCAATATCATCAAAATGTCCATTCTCCCAAAAGCAATTTATACATTCAATGCAATACCAATCAAGATACCAAAGACCTTCTTCTCAGATCTGGAAAAAATGGTGCTGAAATTTATATGGAGACACAGGAGACATCGAATAGTTAAAGCAATCTTGTACAACAAAAACAAAGCCGGAGGCATCACAATACCAGATTTCAGGACATACTACAGGGCAGTTGTAATCAAAACAGCATGGTACTGGTACAGAAACAGATGGATAGACCAATGGAACAGAATTGAAACACCAGAAATCAATCCAAACATCTACAGCCAACTCATGTTTGATCAAGGATCCAAAACCAATCCCTGGAGTAAGGACAGTCTCTTCAATAAATGGTGCTGGGAAAATTGGATTTCCACGTGCAGAATCATGAAACAAGACCCCTACCTTTCACTTTACACAAAAATTCACTCAACATGGATTAAAGCCTTAAATCTAAGACCTGACACCATCAAATTATTAGAGAGCACTGGAAAAACCCTGCAAGATATAGGTACCAGCAATGACTTCTTGGAAAACACCCCAGAAGCACAGGCAGTCAAAGCCAAAATTAACATTTGGGATTGCATCAAATTGAGAAGTTTCTGTACTGCAAAAGAAACAGTCAGGAAAGTGAAGAGGCAACCGACAGAATGGGAACATATATTTGCAAACTATGCAACTGATAAAGGGTTGATAACCAGAATCTACAAAGAAATCAAGAAACTCCACAACATCAAAACAAACAACCCACTTAAGAGATGGGCCAAGGACTTCAATAGACATTTTTCAAAAGAGGAAATCCAAATGGCCAACAGACACATGAAAAAATGTTCAAGATCACTAGCAATCAGGGAAATGCAAATCAAAACCACAATGAGGTTCCACCTCACCCCAGTAAGAATGGCTCACATTCAGTAATCTACCAACAATAGATGCTGGAGAGGATGTGGGGAAAAAGGGACACTAACCCACTGTTGGTGGGAATGCAAACTGGTTAAGCCACTAGGGAAGTCAGTCTGGAGATTCCTCAGAAACCTGAAGATAACCCTACCATTCAACCCAGCCATCCCACTCCTTGGAATTTACCCAAAGGAAATTAAATTGGCAAACAAAAAAGCGGTCTGCACCCTAATGTTTATTGCAGCTCAATTCACAATAGCTAAGACCTGGAACCAACCCAAATGCCCATCAACAGTAGACTGGATAAAGAACTTATGGGACATGTACTCTATAGAATACTATACAGCAGTCAAAAACAACGAAACCCAGTCATTTGCAACAAGATGGAGTAATCTGGAAAACATCATGCTGAGTGAATTAAGCCAGTCCCAAAGGGACAAATATCATATGTTCTCCCTGATCGGCGACAACTAACTGAGCACCAAAGGGGAAACTTGTTGAAGTGAAATGGACACTATGAGAAACAGTGACTTGATCAGCTCTTGTCCTGACGGTTGATATACAATGTAACACTTTATCCATTTTAGTATTTTTTTTTTGTTCTAGTACCATTGGTTGAACTCTGTAATTAACACACAATTATTCTTAGGTGTTTAAATTTTAACTGAAAAGTGATCCCTGTTAGGAATTTGGAAAACATTATGTTGAGTGAAATAAGCCAATCCAAAGGGACGATCAAGCTGACTTACCTCAAACAGTAGAGTTAGAAACATACCAGGGGATTCGAATTCAATCCCATCGAGGTGGCATGTACCAATGCCATCTCACTAGTCCCAGTGATCAATTTCTGTTCACAATTGATCATAATGATAGAACTAAGAACCAAAGGGATCACATAAACAAGACTAGTGTCTGAAAATACTAGCTGATAGAATCAAAAAGGGAGATAATGATCCAACATGGGAAGTGAGATACACAGCAGACCCATAGAATGGCAGATGTCCTAAACAGCACTCTGGCCTCAGAATCAGCCCTTAACGCATGCGCATCTGGCTGAAATGCCCATGAGAGTATTTCAGGCATGGAAAGCCAAGACACTCTGGGGAAAAAAAAAATAACCTAAATGAAAGATCTCCGCGAGTGAGATCCCAGTGGAAAGAATGGGTCATCAAAGAAGGAGGTACCTTTCTCTGAAGGGAGGAGAGAACTTCCACTTTGACCATGGCCTTGTCTAAATATGATCAGAGTCAGTGAACTCAGGGGGCTTCCATAGCCTTGGCAGCTCATGACAAGAGCCTCAGGTGATTACTGATGCCATAAACAAGAGTGTCAATTTGTTAAGTCAATAACAGGAGTCACTGTGCACTTACTCCTCATGTAGGATCTTTGTCCTTAGTGTGCTGTACATTGAGATTTAATGCTATAACTAGTACTCAAACAGTATTTTTCACTTTATGTTTCTGTGTGGGAGCAAACTGTTGAAATCTTTACTTAATGTATGCTAAACTGATCTTCTGTAGATAAAGAGAATCGAAAATGAATCTTGATGTGAATGGAAGGGGAGAGGGAGTGGATAAGGGGAGGGTTGCGGGTTGGAGGGATGTTATGGGGGGGAAGCCATTGTAATCCATAAGCTGTACTTTGGAAATTTATATTCATTAAATAAAAGTTTAAAAAAAAAACAATAAAATAAATAAATAAAAGAAGCTATTTAGACCTCCAGTGGTGAAAATTCAAAATGCCATGAGTAATGAATCCAATTTAGGTTGAGTCTCTCTCCCTCTTCTTTATTCTTACATACAAACACACACATACATACACACACACGTACACACTCATATAGTTTGTTTACAGGTAGGATGCAAGCTTTATTTACTTCTAACTAGACTGATCACGAGGTCTATTACTGTTCACCTTGTCTTCACTCCAATTCACTCCACACTCTTTCAACAGGTGCACCATCCAAAGCATCTACTATTTCAAAGCCACAATCCATTCCCTGTTGTGCTCCTTACTTTCACTCAGCAATGAATAAACACTCTCAGTCCCCCATTTGGAGCTCTCCATATTCAAGTATATCCTTGGCCAGATTCATTCCTCAGGGAAACATATTTCAGTGTACTTTTTCACACAACTACCAGCAGTGTCTACATTGTCAGGGTAAAATAGGGCAGAGCTAGGAGGCCTAGAAGGTGCTTTGAGGCTTAGAAGATGAATTCTCTCACCTTTCCTGGAAGATAATGAAAACAGCCTTCAATGGACATCTTTATTAAGTATATGTATGCATTAGAAATAAGTATCTCAATAGCTGGAGACAACCGTATAGACATACACTATGATTAATAAATATTTTATGAAACAGTGAGTTACAAAGACTGCTAACATTTCAGGAAACACAATGTTCACATAATTTCCTTGTCTACATTCAAAAAATTTCCATAATAACACACACATAATTTCCCTATGTAAAACAGAGTTACAGTAATATACTTTTTGTAAATTTGACTCACAATGAATTTAGCAACTAAATCTAAATATGACATAAATTGAAAGTTTTGGTTTACAGGAAAAATTTTAAAACCTTAATATGATTTTAAATGATAGATTAAAACTTTTCAACAGATGGGGAGAGTTTTAAACATATTTTAGTTGTCTAATGATGTTATGACCTGAACACTGTCTCCCACAAATTACTATGTGGAAGTTCTAATTAATCCCTAACACGAATTCATCATTTATGGCATTTAAGAAAACAATGAACATTAAATGAGGAAGTTAAGAGTGAGGCCCTAATCTGAAAAGACTGATGTCCCAAGAAGAAGTAATGGAGACACCAAGGATGCATGCACGCAGAGGAAAGACCATGTGGGGACAAGTCCCTGTTACACTTCCAGGTCACAGATTCTCATGCCCTAGTTTACAGGGTCCTCAATCAAAACACTATCAATATGTGGTCATGAAATTGTCCTTGAACTTTTTAATTCTTCAATTATGCTTCAAAGAAACTTCTTCATTTTCCTTCAGCCATATTATATTTTGTTGATAGTCTACCAAGCATTAACCTAAAAAGTTGTTCTACTATCACATTTGAGGCAAACCATGTGTTGGTCACTTTTACATTTTGGAGCTAAGATTATCCAGCAAGATGTATACAATTCAGTAACAGAACTAAAGCAATGAACAGAAAAAAGCAAATATTTCACTAGAGAATTGTCTTAGGAATCTAATAGATCCACAGCAAAATCTCACGTTTTCATCAAATTCAACCCAATAATTTTCTGGAAAAATGGTAATTCAACTCCATGTCCAGCTTTACAAATACTTACCATATGATAACCTTGAAACGTTTCTAATGGTCCAGGGAAATTAACCCGACTGGAGTCCGGAGCCAAATAGACAGACCTTATCGACACAATTCCTCTCCAATCATAGAATGCTTTGTCTGTTGAAAGTATTGATATAGGTTAAAACAATATTTACCCAGGGAAATGCACACACAGATCATATTCTTAATGTTACAAAGAGGAAAGCACATCATGTTTATGGGTTCACTATTCTGTATTAAAATCACATCTGTCACCTAATCCAAGAGAGATGAAGAAGTGGTAACAGTGCATAGAAACACTGACCACTTTGTACAGTAGAGCTTCCATATTTTTATTGCATACAGCATGCCCATCAGAAAACTAAGAGGCTCATTCTCTTCAACCTCTTCTCTTTAAGAACACTGAGCTTTTTTATAGCATACTTAATGTAAAATCCCATTTGCAAATAGCACTTAGAAAAATAAAAAGAAACCTCCTCTGTTATATCAGTACTTTAAAAGAAAATTTGGAATTATTATGAAGGCACAAGTTTTGAAATTGCCAAGTAAATTAAATTACTAAAAGTGTTTAAGGGGAACAGGTTGAAAGAGCTAAAGGTTAGCCAGCATACATGCACATATTTCTTCCGTCTCATGGCAGTTGTCACATGGGATTTTTGCAATAACCTTTTCCTTTTTAAATAATGGGGAGATTCAAGATTTATTTGTCCATTTATTTCTCAGAAATATTAATTATTTTTAAAAGAGAAAAAGTTCAATCCTGCCAACCAAATGAATCAAACTATTTTCACATTTCCAATTTCCTTTCTAATAGTTATTCACACACATATATTTTTTCCTGAAGCTATTCATGATGCTTTTCCTGAAGCATCACCAATGGACCAGTTAATGTCATATATATTTAAAGAAAATGCAAAAGTAATAAATTCTCTCATTTAATTGTTTCTGTTTATTTATAGAAACATAAGTTGAGTGTCCTAGAGGGAGGCAAGGGAGTAACATAAAATAATAAAAAGGCCAATGCTATCTCACAGACTTCTGAATAAGTATACACACAGCCTAACCCATATTAACTTCACATGTAATTTCTTTTATTTCAAACAAAATAGTCACTGCTATCTATCAAAAAGGCAAAATCTCCAGAAGAAACAATATAATAAATCATATATTTCATTCATGATTCAGTGTGAATAAATGAAATCAAATGGAAGCAAATGCCAGTAACAGGGGTCTTACTATCAGTGTCCAAGAAAATAGCAAGGGAAAGCCCATATGATTTCAACTGGGGACCTTTATAAGCCCAGCAACTTATAAACAGATAACACAGGAATTATTAGAGATACGTTAGCCTTCACATTTCTTGTGAAGCTGTCTTGACTAGCTAAAAACATGTTCTGACTCACTGGGGCTCTTCCTGACCTACCCACTTCCCTTAACACAGGAAGGGTTCTCACATATTTTAGGTCATTTTGCTAGTCTTTCCAATCTTCTTGTTATATTTATAAACTCTTCCAGGGTAGGAACAGTATCTTACTTGGACCTGCTGTATGTTCCTGGCTCATTAACCATACAAATACTGATGAATAAGTCTCATGAGGTTAAATCTGAGAGTCAAGAGGGAATCACCCTGACCACTGAAGAGTCCAATCCAATATGAAACCAAAAGTGAAGCATCTTGTTTTTCTGATCATTTTCAAATATCTTATTGTTGACTCAAGGAAAACAACATTGTTTTATCCAGTATACAGGCATCACACTTAAAATGAAGAGGTAACTTTCCTATGTTAAAAAGCAGTAAAGCCTCCACACACTGATATATGCTAATAACTCCTCCTCAGAAGCCAGGCACAGAATGTGACATGCAACAAATTCCAGTTTATTCCACAAAGTCAGTACAAAGTTAGAAGCTGATGGTCTAAAAAAGACTAGAGTCACATGTCAGACTAAATCTTTACAAATCCTTGCTGGAGTCAGTATTCTTCCCAGATAATGCCACAGAGAAATGAAGATTCTGAATGCCACTTGTCTGTATTTGTGCCTGTGTGCACATGCATGAAGGCTGTATTTGGATAGGTGGGGAACAAAAGAATTCTCATCAATAATCCAAGTTCAGCTAGCAGGACAGAATAAAATATTCTGTGATTAAATAAATCTTGGGCAAAAACAATATCGTAACTTGGAATCCAGCCAAAATGATCACATCAACTTAACAAGGAGTTATAAGTTAAATAGTAACTATCTTTGAATATCAAAACTTCTGTTAAATAGCTACTCATACTAATGTCTTCCTGACTTTGCATTGCTGAATACTTATTTTTGACTTTCTTTTTAAGAAATAGTATTGCGACTGGTGCCGTGGCTCAATAGGCTAATCCTCTGCCTTGCGGCGCCAGCACACCGGGTTCTAGTCCCAGTCGGGGCGCCGGATTCTGTCCCGGTTGCCCCTCTTCCAAGCCAGCTCTCTGCTGTGGCCCGGGAAGGCAGTGGAGGATGGCCCAAGTGCTTGGGCCCTGCACCCCATGGGAGACCAGGAGAAGCACCTGGCTCCTGGCTTCGGATTAGCGCGGTGCACTGGCCGCAGCACGCCAGCTGTGGCGGCCATTGGAGGCTGAACCAATGGCAAAAGGAAGACCTTTCTCTCTGTCTCTCTCTCCCACTATCCACTCTGCCTGTCAAAAAAAAAAAAAAAAAAAAGAAATAGTATTGCACAACAAGTTTACGTCCTTTTCTGTCTTCTTCATACCTTATTTGCATATTTAGACTTAAAAGTCCTTCAATTGCTTTGTATCCTCCACAAAACTGAATACAATGGTGCACTTCAAGCATGCACGTGTGCATGTGTGGGTGTGCACCGGTGTGTGCACGTGCACATGCAGACGTCTATGTGCAGGCATAGGTGTGCATGCTCCTGTATCTGGGAAGTGATTTGGAATAGTTTGAAGACCAAAGACCTGAAGTGTAGATTGAAAGGCTCTATATAATGCAACCAACAAAAACACCTTCAGGATAGAAAATTAGTTTTTAAATTTCTACTGTTCTTCAGGACCAAATATTTTTCACCAGACCCCCATCTTCCTTCACTTTCTAGCATAATCAGAACTTTTACAATAGTAACAATTTAGAAATACCTTTCACTGGAGATGGTTTTTTAGTTTTATTTCCCATCTTAATTCAAATTTATGTTCTGAACAATGAGCCAATCATTTACACAGATAGGCAATATTTCTAAAGCCCAATAAGCATAGTAATTTTAGAAAATTAAATTATACAAATGACTCACAGAAAGATTGTGTATCTAAGGTAAGATTGCCAGGGAAAGAAAGTAAAGAGGAAGGAAGCAAAAAAAAATTGTCAGCTAGAATTTAAAAACATTCACCACTTCTCTAATTTTTGCAGTGACACACACTTCAAATGAACACATTCGTTCAATGCACTTGGACATCAACAATAGACTCAATGACAATAGCAGTTTGTATTTCAAATGCACTGTTTCAGAAAACTACGAAACTGAAAGCTCTAAAAAAAACACAACTGCTTCTAACAGAGCTGAAGAAGTCCCAGGGAAAACGGGATGTATCTTTATTAGCTTATGAAAAAACCAAAGACACCACTGGGTTCAGCGGTCCCCTGTCCCAAGAGTTTCTTTTATGCCAAGCTCATTCTGTTTCCCTTTTATCAATTCCCTTGTATCAATTAATTCTTCAAGTTAATTGCACATGCAGTTTTAATCTGTAGGTAATTACAAACAATTAATGGTTAGGAGACAGAATTAGCAGTTTTTAGTTTGATTATCTATATAATTAAGAGGGATGGTAAACTAGGGTTGACAAATAGCATCTTAATCATTTGAATAATCAAATCCCACAAGCTTGCTTGAGTGGCTAAATTCCATCTGTAAATATTAGTTTAAATTTTAGAAAAATGACTGAAATATCCATTTAACTCTGTTCATGTGTTAAATGTATAGTACAAAAATTTACAAGGTATATATTCTAAAATGACTTAACACACCTTCTTTGTTTAAAATGAGCAGACTCTAAAAGGATTCAATAAAAATAAAAATTTAGGCAGGTGTTTGGCTCAAAACTTAAGTCACTTACATCCCACATTAAACGGCCAGATTTGATTCCCAGGCCCTCTGCTTCTAATTCAGCTTCCCATTTATCAATACCCTGGGAGGCAGCACACAATGGTTCAATAATTTGGGTCACTGCCACCCACGTGAAAGACCCAGAGAAAGTCCCGCTTCCTGACTTCCATCTGGCCCAGCTCTGGCTGATGCAGGCAATGCATGGTGTGAACCAACAGATGGAAGATATGTGTCTGCCTCTATCTCTCCCTGTTTCCCTTGCTTAAAATAGAACGAAAATAAATAAATAACTTTCAAAAATTAAAAAAAAATGTAGGGAATCAAAAGTTTTCTCATTACCTCCTTCGTGGCTGACACATCTAAAAATTAATAAGAGAAAAGCATAACAAATGTATTTATCAAACTTTCATTTGACCCAGAAGTGAAGACCCAAAGACACAGAGAACTCTGTATTTTGATGGCTAGGTCTGATGAAGAATGGACAGTCATATCAAAGTATGAGTGGATAAAAAGGTGGTATGACCTAATAATAATTAACTGAGGGGCCTGTTTCTTCAGATGGTTCTTGGCTTCTGGGTGTGGGGCAGTTCATCTGTGACTTAAGGGTCTTCAGAGGAGAAGAGTGGAGGTCAGAGGATCGGTGATTCTGCTAGGTTTTATGGCCTGCTTTCTATTTCCATTATGTTTCAAGGGAAAACAAGAAACATGAAAGGTCAAAGAGAATTTCTGGTTTCTGAAACCCTCTCGATATCCTTCAACTCAAAATACTCAGCATGCCAAGGCACCGTGCTTTTGAGGCACTGTAATCTGAGTCCAGACAGCTTCAACAGACAATTTGTGAATAAGTTCATATCCATAGCTCCGATTTCTATTTTATAAAGCATCTAAGAAATATGGAAAAATATTGTGCAGCTCTGCTTAACAATCTAAGTTCATACTGCAAGACAACAAATAAGACACACCTTCAATGCTCCTTTGGCTGCCTGATGGGGTCAGTGGTTTATAGACTGAGAACAAGAACTAAGAA